TTAGAAACACAAACATCTGAAATAAGGTGTTCCATTTTTCAAGATTAATAACCCTACAAGAAATTGTTATATCATTGTTACGAAAGGAATGCTAACAATTCTATATGACTTTGCATGGAAAACTAGGACCTAACATATGCAAGTTAACCAGTTTTTCTTCGGCCGAGTATCTTTTTTAAGACACTTCTTGTTAACAAGATTTGTTTGTAAAATATGTATGTCCCTTATCGACAGCCAATTAGTCATGTGTGACTTCTGACCTAGTGAACAAAAAATTAATAAGGGTTATCTTTTGGTCATGACTTAAGGGGTTATCTACTGGCTAAGACTAATGCACTTACAAAGTTTGAGGGCCAGCAACTATGGGATTGTCAATTTATTGATCGGAAAACTTTTTTACCTACAAGGTTAATTTGACATTGACCTTTGACTCCTTGACCCCTAAATCAATAAGGGTCGTCTAATTGTCAAGTCAAAAGCACCTACCAAGTTTGGGGGCCAACAGCTCATGGGTTGTCAAGTTATTGATCGTCAACCGTTTTTACCAACAAAATAAATATGAACTTGAGCTTTGACCCCTTGACCCCAAAATCAATAGGGGTCATCTATTTTTCATGAGCAATCATCATACCAAGTTTGAAGTTCCTAGGCCTAAATGTTCTTTAGTTATTGATCAGAAACTGTTTTTATCTACAAGATCGATGTGACCTTGACCCCTTGACCCCGAAATCAAAAGGGGTCAATTGCAGGTTATGAACAATCACCATACCCAGTTTGAAGTTCCTAGGCCTCATCGTCCTTAAGGAATTGAGTGGAAACCATTTTTAACTACAAGTCAATGTGACATTGACTTTTGATCCCTTGACCCACAAATCTATAGGGTTCATATGCTTTTCATGACCAATCATCATACCAAGGTTGAAGTTCATAGGCCTAAGCATTCTTTACTTATTGATCTTAAACCGTTTTTACCTACAAGGTCAATGTGACCTTGACCTATGACCCCAAAATCAATAGGGGTCATCTGCTGGTCATGATCAATCATCTTACTAAGTTTGAAGTTCGTAGGCCTAAAGGTTCTTTAATGACTGATCGGAAACCGTTTTTATTTACAAGGTCAATGTGACCTTAACTTTTGACATCTTGACCCCAAAATCAATAGTGTTCATCTGCTGGTCATGATCAATCTCCATACCAAGTTTGAAGTTCCTAGTCCCAAAGGTTCTTTAATTATTGATCGGAAACCGTTTTTAATTAAAAGGTCAATGTGACCTTGACCTTTGGCCCTTTGTCCGTAAAATCTATTGGGGTCATTAACTGGTCATGGCTAGTCACCATACCAAGTTTGAAGTTCCTAGGCCTAAATGTTCTTTAGTTATTGATCAGAAACTGTTTTTATCTACAAGGTCAATGTGACCTTGACCCCTTGACCCCGAAATCAATAGGGGTCAATTGCAGGTTATGAACAATCACCATACCAAGTTTGAAGTTCCTAGGCCTGAGCGTCCTTTAGGTATTGAGTGGAAACCATTTTTAACTACAAGTCAATGTGACATTGACCTTTGACCCACAAATCTATAGGGTTCATATGCTTTTCATGACCAATCATCATACCAAGTTTGAAGTTCATATGCCTAAGCCTTCTTTACTTATTGATCTTAAACCGTTTTTACCTACAAGGTCAATGTGACCTTGACCTTTGACCCCAAAATCAATAGGGGTCATCTGCTGGTCATGATAAATCATCTTACCAAGTTTGAAGTTCGTGGGCCTAAGGGTTCTTTAATGACTGATCGGAAACCGTTTTTACTTAAAAGGTCAATGTGACCTTAACCTTTGACATCTTAACCCAAAATCAATAGGGTTCATCTGCTAGTCATGATCAATCTCCATACCAAGTTTGAAGTTCCAAGGCCCAAAGGTTCTTTAATTATTGATCGGAAACCGTTTTTAATTAAAAGGTCAATGTGACCTTGACCTTTGGCCCTTTGTCCCAAAAATCTATGAGGGTCATTTACTGGTCGTGGCTAGTCACCATACCAAGTTTGAAGTTCCTAGGCCTAAATATTCTTTAGAAATTGATCAAAAACTGTTTTTATCTACAAAGTCAATGTGACCTTGACCCCTTGACCCCGAAATCAATAGGGGTCAATTGCAGGTTATGAACAATCACCATACCAAGTTTGAAGTTCCTAGGCCTCAGCGTCTTTTAGGTATTGAGTGGAAACTATTTTTAACTACAAGTCAATGTGACATTGACCTTTGACCCCTTGACCCACAAATCTATAGGGTTCATATGCTTTTCATGACCAATCATCATACCGAGTTTGAAGTTCATAGGCCTAAGCATTCTTTAATTATTGATCTTAAACCGTTTTTACCTACAAAGTCAATGTGACCTTGACCTTTGACCCCAAAATCAATAGGGGTCATCTGCTGGTCATGATCAATCATCTTACCAATTTTGAAGTTCGTGGGCCTAAGTGTTCTTTAATGACTGATCGGAAACCGTTTTTACTTAAAAGGTCAATGTGACCTTAACCTTTGACATCTTGACCCAAAATCAATAGGGTTCATCCGCTGGTCATGATCAATCTCCATACCAAGTTTGAAGTTCCTAGGCCCAAAGGTTCTTTAATTATTGATCGGAAACCGTTTTTAATTAAAAGGTCAATGTGACCTTGACCTTTGGCCCTTTGTCCCAAAAATCCATAGGGGTCATTTACTGGTCATGGCTAGTCACCATACCAAGTTTAAAGTTCCTAGGTTAAAGGGTTTTTAAGTTATTGATCGGAAACCGTTTTTACTTACAAGGTCAATGTGACTTTGACCTTTGACCCTAAAATCAATAAGGGTTGTCTAATGGTACTGACAATTCACCATACCAAGTTTGAAGTTTTTTAGTTATCACTCGGAAACCATTTGGTCTACGGACCGACGGACACACAGACAGACAAATGCAAAGCAATATACCCCCTCTTATTTGAAGTGGAAACATAATTATATACATGTATTCTGGTCAATAACATTACTGAGCAACTTGTTTCGGTCATTTGTACATATATTTGGACAAATCTGGTGTATTTATCGCACAATAGCTGTGCTATTTTTTAAAATTCTTAGTTAATATACACGATGACAACTGTATCTTGAGATATAGAACAATTTCAAAAGGCCATTCAAAAGGGCATGACAGAAAAAAAACAAATCCAAAACGGCAACATTAGTGTGATAAAATTTCAAGTTGGAAACTTTCATGATCAGCATACAATAAACAAATTAACTCAAAAAATATACAATGTATATGCAATTAACAAAAAACCCTTTGAGTGGAAAAAACTTATAATCAGTTCTTTAATATGAAATAACAAAACAAAAAAGAATAAAAAAAAGTCAAATAAAAGAATACTGTACATTAATGTGATAATACTTCAAGTCATTATTTGGAAACTAATTGTCTATGGACAGAAGGATTGACATTCAAAAATGCAATACCATGTTGAGTAGAATAATCAGGCATGTAAAAATCAGAATGTGTATACATATATTCTCAAATGTCAAGATTGAAACTTTCAATGCTTACATTACATAATAAATTATTATGTTTGTTTTTTCTCCGTCCAATTTATATTCCCATGTGTGCCTTGACACAATACAACTGCATAAACCATCATCTTAATTACAACCTTACACTATTTATTGTTTCATATGTCGACTATCACACAAATCATATGCAAATGGGTACGGTTTTCTCCGGCATGCATTCTCATCTGTTGCTTAAATGTACTCACAGTCACTTATTATAAATGTATCTTGAATCTTCACAAAACTCACATTTTAATGGAACTATTCAGTAACTATTCTTTTATTTATCTTTATGTATCTAAATGAAATGTTTTATGATTATATCACATAACATGTTTGTCTGAGTATGTTTTCTCATGAAAAGCTTAATTTTGCTCATAGAACTGAACAAGAGGGCCATGATGGCCCTGAAATCACTCACCTGTATATAGGCCCCTGGGCCAATGCCAATCTTAAACCAGGGGCCGTTATTTAAGCAAAAGAAGATGTTTCATGATAAATAATCTAAGCTTTAACTCTTTGGGGTTTTTAAAAGAAGTGTTTTAAGTTTTTACTATATACATATAGCGAAAAACAATGACCCCCTGGGGTGGGGAGGGGCTTTTATTTAAACAAACTTGGTAGACACCCATTAGAAGATGTTTCATGCTTAATATCTAAGCTTTAGCTATTTGGGGTTTTACAAATAAGGAAAATCAATGACCCCGTTGGGCGGGGCCAATATTAACCCCAAGGCATTTATTTGAACAAACTTGGAAGACACTGACTAGGTGATGTTTTATGTCAAATATTTAAGCTCTAGCTCTTGCGGTTTTTTAAAAGAAGATATTTTAAGTTTTTACTTTATACAATAAGGAAATAAATGACCCCTGGGGGCGGGGCAAATTTTTACCCCAGGGCATTTATTTGAACAAACTTGGTAGAAACCCACTAGAGGATTTTTCATGCTTAACATCAAAGCTCTAGCCATTTGGGGTTTTTAACAAAAGATTTTTAAGTTTTTTACTTTATACAAATAAGGAAAATCAATGACCCCCAAGGCCGGGGCCAATTTTGACCCCAGGGCATTTATTTGAACAAACTTGGTAGACACTGACTAGATGATGTTTTATGCCAAATATTTAAGTTTTAACTCTTGCAGTTTCCTAAACGAAGATATTTTAATTTTTTCTTTTGGTTGCCATGGCAACAAGAGTTCTGATTTGAATTAAATTCTTTGAACAATTCTTAAAGTTGACAACCAAAAGAAAGATTCCTGTAAGGGATAGATGGAATTTGCGGTGTGGTTTATGAGGAGATGTTGTTTAAAGTAAAAGTTAACGGACAGACGGACACCGGACGAAAAGGGATCACAAAAGCTCACCATGTCACTTTGTGACAGGTGAGCTAAAAAACCATTGCAAAGACTTTCTTAAAATGTTTTTTCTGCTATATGAATTCTCATGTGTACTTTCAGATTGCCTGTTTGTCTGAATGCTTTATCACATACATCACATTTATATGGTTTTTCTCCAGTATGTATTCTCATGTGTTCTGTCAGACTACCTTTTTGACTGAATGTACTATTACATTCATCACATTTAAATGGTTTTTCTCCAGTATGTATTCTCAAATGACGTTTCAGTGAACTCATTGAACTCAAGGTACAATTACATGAACTGCATAAAAATGTTCTTTCTGCAATATGTATTTTCATGTGTTTCTTTAGAAAACTTGCTTGATTAAATAAACTATCACATACATTACATTTATATGGTTTTTCTCCAGTATGTATCCTCATATGTTGCTTCAGACTACTCGCTCTAGTGAATGCATCATCACATAACTTGCATTTAAACGGTTTTTCTCCGGTATGTATTCGCATGTGTCGTTAAAGTTTACTCTTTGAAATGAAAGTACAATTGCATACATTACATAAAAATGTTTTTTCTCCAGTATGTATTCGCATGTGTTCTGTCAGATGACTTTTGTGACCGAATGTACTATGACAATCATCACATTTAAATGTTTTTTCTCCAGTATGTATTCTAAGGTGTCGCCTAAGGCTACTATTGTCGCTAAATGCCGAGTCACATACATTACACTTAAATGGCTTTTCTCCAGTATGTATTCTAGCATGAGTATCAAGACTACCTTTTTGACTAAAAGTGCTATTACATTCATCACACTTATATGGTTTTTCTCCAGTATGTTTTCTCATGTGTTTCCTTTGATAACACTTAAGCCTGAATGAACTATCACACACATCACATTTGTAAGGTTTTTCTCCAGTATGTATTGGCAGGTGTTGCTTTAGACCACCTTTTTTGGTGAATGTACCATCACAAAAGTTACATTGAAATTGTTTTCCTCGGGTATGTTGTTTTGTCATGTGTCTTTTTAGGTTACTCATTGTGCTGAATTTGATATCACACAACTTGCACGTAAATAATTTTTCTCCAGTGTGCATTCTTATGTTTTGCATTTTTCACTTGTTTTGAGATAGATCAAAATATCATATAAAGACCTGAAAAAAGCCAAACATTTAATATACTGATGGTATAACTGGATTTAGATCATGAAAAAACTTAACAAGTGACAAAGCAACGCATGAATTTTTCTTTTATCTATAAACAAAAAAATAAATGATTTAAACAAATCTTTAAAAAGAATATTAAAGAAAAAGGTTGTTTTTCCCCCTTTTTATAAAAGGTTTGTCCAATCACCATCCCAGCATGAATTATTTCCCTAAATATTATAAAATGAAAAAGTTTCCGCAAAATGATTGCATTTGTAAAGAAGATTGCATTTTTGAAAAATGCTTTGCCACGCATTAATACAACGCTAAATTAAGTGTAAGAACAAATGTTTTTTGCATATTGAGACACTATCTACAAAAATTATCACGTAAAGGAACCAGTTACAAAATTCCTCACCACTATTTCGTTTGTCAGCTCAACTTAATGGCGGGTTTCTTTCAAAGGGCAATCACTCATTTATGAATGACAATTCGCCCCCTTGCCAACTCGCGTTTTTTTGTTAATTCGTCACTTCACTTTAATTCCACAACATGGACATTTGGAACCACTGATAAGACTTTGCCACTAGTATACACCCATGCCAGTGTGTACCTTTATGCAGTGGTATACAGTGGAAGGTCTGAAATACAACGGATAATTACTTTGAAATTATTTTATATCAGGAAACAATTTAGCAAACCACGAAAGAATAATATAAGGAAGATTTTGGTAAACTTGTGTGAGAAACGTACATGCTCGGATATTACATATACTTATATAACAGATAATATAATGTTCTAGAAATAAACATCAATAAATGTGCATTCTTATGTCCTAAATGTACTTGTATATGAGATTGAAGAATAAATTTACGAGCGAATACTTTGGCACATATTTCGCATTTATAATTTTTCTCTCCCGTGTGCACTGCCATATGGGATTTTAGAGTACATTTATGAGCAAATGCTTTGTCACATATTTCACATTTATAATTCTTTTCTCCCGTGTGCACTGTCATATGAGTTTTTAGATTGCTAGTATTAGAAAATGCTTTGTCATATATTTCGCATTTATAATTCTTCTCTCCTGTGTGCACTGTGATATGAGTTTTTAGATAACCTTTATGAGAAAAGGCTTTGTCACATATTTCACATTTAATTGCTTTCCCTCCTGTGTGTCTGATCATGTGAGTGCTAAAATCACATTTATATGCAAATGCTTTGTCACATGTTTCACATTTATAATTCTTTTCTCCTGTGTGTACTGTCATATGCATTTTAAGAAAATAGTTTCGTTAGAACAGTTAAAAACAAATATCGCATTGAATTATTTTACCACTAGTATGCATTTTCGTGTGCCTAATTAAGGGGAATCCTGTAAGATAAACAAGTAAATTTTAATCCCCTTTGTATTTCCAGTATTGTCACTGAAATTTTAGTATTGTACAAGCTTTCAATTATTGGAACGTAAATATCAAAACTAGCTCCATATTTCGAATGATGATTTTTATACTGATGACGTTCCTATTTTATTTAAATGATTATTGGAGATTTGAACAATAAATTTGTCTGTTAAAATATACTACATTGTGATAAAGTACACACAGTTAAAAGTTAAAGTTAAATATCAATGCAAAAATAATTTATGACATAAAAACAGTGTTCAATTTATCGTTAAAACGTAATTACAAATAATGATATATATTTACCCGTGTTCTGTTAACTTTTGATTGAAATTTGTTTCTTCTTGTTACTTTGACTTACAGACGTAAATTTGTTCTGATTATGTATCATATCATTCTTCCGAATTTTAATTAACATGTAGCTCTATACTTTTTTTTCCTTATAATCGAAAAATTCATACATTGACCCTTTACGTTTGCCTAACGATTTAAGTGCCATTTATGCATAATCGTTTGAAATATATAGTAAATTCCGCTCAACTTGACAATGAAAAAAATACAACTACATGTACTTGATTTTTCTATGAAACATGAAAAATGGTAGCTTTTGTATTAGTAATTTCTCAAGTCCCCTTTGCGCGCGCGCGTTTGTGTGTGTGTGTGTGCGTGTGTGCGTGTGTGCGTGTGTGTGTGTGTGGCGGGATTGGTTGGGGAAATAGCTAGGTTGTTTTACCTTTGCCGCCGTAATAGAATTATATGATCAATTTAACAACGAGATAATTTCGTCAATCGATATAATAGTCAGTCGTTAGCCGTACACATGTGAAATCTGCCTTGTGCCCGGTTTTAATATCTTGATTAATATTAATTATTCAAAATGTCAATAATGTTAGTTCTTTTATTACCAATCAACGGTTTTTTCAAATTAGTGATAAAAAGCGTGGGGTTTTGTCCACTCTATAAAATCAAAGACGTGGGGTTTTGTCCACTCTATCAAATTTTGAGGTGTGGGGTTTTGATGTGTGGGTTTTTGTCTGTCTTCCGGTACTGCTGTGTGTTAATTCTTCCCGTGACAAATTTTTCAGAGTCTTTCAAATTTCGGTCTCAAAAATGACTTTTTTTTATAAAACAATTATACAAATTCTTCAAAAAAAAAGTTTAAAAAAGATAAACACTAGTCAAATTGAAAGAGTTTATTTTTTTCTTAATTTATCACATGTTTGTTTAAAATACTGAAGATTGAAGATTCTTTTGAAACAAAATCTTACTTTATCTCATAAGGTTACAATGATCAAGTACAGATAGTTCATTTTGAAGATAAGACACGTGCTAACTGTTGAAATACACTTAACTTGTCGTGAGCTCTTAGGCCGCGTCTACAACTATTCAAGTTTCTTACATGTCACATTTAAAAAAGCTAAATAAATGGCCCTTTCGACATTTTTAGGGCACAATTTTTACTGAAATGTCTTATTAAGATAGCCCAGGATTTATACCTTTGTCTTTGTAATACTATCATGTTTCTGTAAAATATGTGAAAAAGAAGCGGGAAAATGATGCAAATAGTTAAAACAATGGAGTAAATGAAATGCGTACATTCTTTTAATAATTGAAAAAAATTGTGACAAAAATTTATTTTGATGCAAATTCTTTATTTGATGAAAGTTATTCACTAAATAAACAAGATCATTTTAAATCCATTTTGACTCTACTTGAAAAAAAAGAGCTCTTTTTTAATTTTTTATTTATGTATGAGTAAGAGTTCGTATTAAGACGACCGTAGGGAGTCTTACCGATCTCTTACCCATATAACTGCAAATCGGCTCTTACAACTCGATATCAGATAAAAATATAGAAAGTGTCACCTCTTTAATTAAGCATAAAGTTATTTTTCCCCAGCAGTCACGTACAAACAAGGATGGGGTCCAATTACTTAATCTGGCATGTAAAACAATGAGTTTTCAACAATACCCAGGATTGTTAATGCAATTCATTCCTGTCATAGAAGAAGAAGAAGAAGAAGCTTTATTCTTTCATAAATCTCACAATACACAATTGACAAAGCTATTATAGCTCATAGTCACATTTTGGTATATATACTTTTGACTTGATATTGGCATTAGTCAACAATAAATCTGTCAGTAAAGTAAACAAGATATATGTGAAAATAGTAAGATGCAAGAAACATTACTCTTACAAGATTTGAATGCTTTTGATTTGCAATTACTTCCCTTACATTTCAAAATATCTAATACAAAAGAATGTGTCAGACTTTTTCTTAAAAAGTGACTATTTTAAATATTCGTTTTTGTTCATAATTGAATCTTAAAATGTTCATCAAGATTGATATAAAACATAAACTACGTATGAAACATTATTTTGCATCTTCTTATTTTTTTTTTGGTATTATTTTTATTAACTATTTTCTAACATGTCAGTACGTACTTACGTACGCACGTGCTGCGTGCGTACATACGTACGTATATACATACAATAAATACATTTGTGTACCACACATGATATTTTTACTTCTAATACATTATTACCGCGGTTCAACCATGTGCAATCAATAAAATTATTAAAGAATGTAACACTATACTATCTAAATATTATATCTACATCTTCTTATTTCAAATGCTTTGTATACATATACAGATAAATTTCTTATTACTTTAACATTTTCTGATGAAAACAATTCTATGGTTTTAAACATGCTTGGTCGAACTCTGAAGTATTCTATTTATATATTTATCTCTAATTGTGTCATACATGTTACACTCAAAAAGGAAATGAAATTCGTCTTCTAATTTATTACACGATATGCAAAGTCTATTTTCTCTTACAGTTCTATTCCATCGGCCACATTCTATATTTAATCGATGTGAGGATACTTTCAATCTACATAATGCATTTCTATATTTTTTTAACATTAAGTATTTTAAGGTATGGTTGAAAACCAAAAACTACATATAGATTTATAAAAAGTAGCTCTTGTTGAGATATCAATCCTACTTTGCCATCCTTGTACAAAAACATCCTTATTCTTTGCTTAAAAATTTGTACAAATATGTTAAAATCTCCTACTCCTGCGCTAGCCAAACATGATAAAAACTAGTCTGGATAAAATATTCTTAACACATGAAGCCCAATTTGATTTTTGAGGTTGATTTTCAATGTCATTTAACATCATTTTATATATATATAATTTATATATTTTATTTTCAGGGCTGCTTGTTACTTTCAACCAATATTTTATAATGTACACAATTCTAAGACTATATAGATCAGTTCTTCCAAGATCGCCGTATATAAAATCATTTTGTGTGCTTACTTTTACACCTAATGTTCGTTTTGCAAAACATTGTATGCACCCTTTCAATTGGTTTGCTGTAAAAAAACCCACACCTCAGCACCATAAATAGGACTGGCTTAATTAGTTTATCAAACAGGTCTAAGACATGATCTGAAGACAAATTAACAAACCTAGACATATAACATTTTAACTTAAAAATTGCCTTTAATGCTTGCCCTGATAACGTGTTACAGGCTTCCTGAAAGGAGCCACCTGACGTAAAAAAACAATTCCTAGGTACGTATATTTATTGACGATTTCTAAAATATTTCCATCATAATAAAAAGCCAAGTTATTTGGTAAACGCCCCCTTTTCGAAAATATTATCACTTTTGTTTTATCTTTTATTTAAGCTTAATTTCCATCTGGAACAATATTCATGTAAATATTAAGACTAGTCTGTAGTTCTTCAGCAGAGTTTGCTAAAAGAACAATATCATCAGCATACATCAATAAAAAATAGTTTCAATGATCCTATATCTACACCCTCTGCACCCTTAATGACCAATTCTTCTTCTAAATCGTTTAAATACATGGCAAACAGAAAAGGACTCAAAGATTCACCTTGTCTTACTCCCAGATAACTATCAAAAATAGAACCTGTCTCACCATATAATTTTACTCTTGAACGTACGTGTGCATACATTGATTGAATAATATTAAATAACTTACCCCTTACACCCAATTTGAATAATTTATACCATATATTCGGTCTTACTAAGTAGTCAAACGCTTTCGAAAAATCAACAAAGACACAAAATAATTTCTTATTTTGATTAAGAACATGATTAATAAGAAACAAAATAATGTTTTGCTTACTTTTTCTAGAAAATATAAACAGTCAGCAATTAATAATCATTTTTCTTAGAGTTAAAAGGATATCAAAAAGTTACTGTGTTCTCATTTGTCTCTGCGACCTGAGCTCCACGTGTATTATCTATGTAATAAATTTGAATGTATCCTCACATTGCTACAGTGTTATCAGCCTTTTTAGAAACAACTGACCTGGCTAATTAAAATATGCCAATCACAATTTTCACTATCAGCACTGGTTTCTTCATGAAAAAGCGGCCACACTAATTACTGCCGAGTAAGGGCCCGTCTACACCTATCCAAGTCTTGAATGCAAGTATTATATTTTCTTGTATTGGATAGTGTAGACACCCTACTTGAATGAGTTTTAAAGAGAAATTATGTGACATCCAAGAAGATAATTCCTTGCAAGAAAGTTAGAACACGTTCTATTTTTCTACAAGTATTTGGCTGTCAAGACACTGATAACACCGGTTTGACACATAACATGTGCCCGAAGGTTTAATAGTGCTGTTATTTTTATTATTTTCTGACTTTTTGTTGTTGATTCAGTGTACATGCCCTTTAAATTCCAGTAAATGATTACAATGTCTTGGTCAAAGGAACAAATCATGATGATTTGTTTCTTTGCCCAAGACATTGTAAACATTAACTGAAATTCAAAGGGCATGTACACTGAGTCAGAAAATAATAAAAATAACAGCACTATCCAACCCTTGCGCACATGTTTTTTGTCAAACTGGTGTTATCATTGTCTTGACAGCCAAAAACTTGTAGAAAATAGAACCTGTAAGAAATTAACTTCATGGATGTCACATAATTTCTCTTAAAAAAACATTCAAGTAGGGTGTCTACACTATCCAATACAAGAGAATATGATACTTGCATTCAAGACTTGGATAGGTGTAGACACGGCCTAACTTTATTTTTAAATACCAATAGTGACAAATCAACAAATAAGGTTCATGCTATTTCTTTTTGTATTTTCTAATGAATAAAAAAGGTTATTATGAGGAAACGAACAGTCATAACTACAAAAGTGCGTTAAGGCAACGCGAAATTTAAGTAAAATTTGGAACACAAACACGAATGACGTTAAGATTATCAATAAGATTGCTAAATAAAAAAACGGGTATTTGTGAATTGTTCGTTGCCCTACTGGGGTCCTGTGTGTTGGATTTTGTCGGGTGCTGCGTTCTGAGAACATTGTTTTGTCTAGTTAATCTTTGTGCTCATATTTTGTAAGGTATTTTATGCCCTATTGTGCGCTGATGAGATCGTATCATCGGACAAAATCTATCAAAATCATTGAAGTCTTCAATAGAATATATTCACTAAATTAGGTCAAACGATACAATAAATCCATTTCTAGTCCATATGAAGTGGTCATAATTTTACATCGCTTAGAAGATTCATATAAAAATGGCTTATTTTTTGTTGTTGTTGTTGTTGTTGTTGTTGTTGTTGTTGTTGTTGTTGTTGTTTATGATGATGGTGATGATGATGATGATGATGATGATGATGATGATGATGACGATGACGATGATGATGATGATGATGATGATGACGACGACGACGACGAAGACGACGACGATGATGATGAATATGATGATGATGATGATGATGATGATGACGACGATGATGATGATGATGGTGATGAATCTAACAGAAAATACATTAAGACAACCACAACCACAATAAGTAATTAATAACAGATAATAGCAATATCAAGTTTAATGTTTATTTAGCAAAAGCATTTGCCATTGGTCATTTACAATGTGTCAATATGGTAAAGACATTACTTATCAAATTTCCTGAAACAGTTAATTCAGCAGAAAAAAGTATTTGACTGTGATATTGAATAAGTATTTGCATACTACAATTATAAGCTAACATTTAGAAATGTTGTCCCCAAGCAACACTTAATATTAAAACAAGTCACTGTTAAATTTTTTTTTATTTAACGTATGCGTCATGAAACAGTTTAAACAAGAAGAGATAAAATGATCACATGTTACACATGAAATTATTTATAAAAGTAACAATGAGATCGTACATAAAGAGGTTGTACATATAACACAGTTCAAACTGTAAGGAAATATTTTTTGTGTGAACTTCATGTAGAAGATATAAAGTTTTAAACACTTTTAACATTGTCGATGTAAAACTTATCAATTAAGAAAGTATTTAATATATTGTGAACACAATTTAGCGTTAACGTCGTGACATGTATGTAATAAGGGTCTTTAAAAATTTTATTGAAAGACCCTGATGTAATGTACGTGGTTGTTTTGCACTCATTTTAGTGGACGTTTGAAATGACGATTATTCACAGCACATTACATATAATCAAACAAAGCAAATACTGTTTATTTCAAAGTTCATAAAATATTTGCATGCTTCGGCTATAAATGTTTTTGTTGAACTTTGAACTAAGCACCTTGAACTAAGTATCGGCGCTAACTATTATTCTGGGAAAGAAATATAATTATATATCCCAAGAAAGCAACAAAATGGAAACTAAGTAGCTTAAAATCACAGAGTCGATTTTATAGGGGCCAATGGAAAGTGCAATATGCCTCACACCCAATCGCATCGTTTTAAGCACTATTTATTTATTCCTATGCACATAAAATATTGAAAACAATGATTCCGAAAATCTATGAACTATAAAGCTTGCAATCATTTTTACTAATGTTTTTTTTACTAATGGACCCATTTCTTGTTGATAAAATGTTGATGCGTTGGTTGTTGTTTCGTCGCACGTTGTTTCTCTTCTTTGTCTTTATTGTTGGTTTTCTCTTTAGGCACATTTTGATCATCTCGAATGAGTCTTTTATCTCGGCTTGAACACCTACAATATATTTTATTTCGTATTATGTTATATATACCCACTGAAATATGTTCCTATGTTCTTTTTTTAAGTCCTCATGGTGAATGTTCTTTTTGGATTTTTTGTAATGTTTGGAGAGGCCAATCCTCTGTGAAGAAGAGTTGAATGTAATGTATGAACCAGTCACCAAAGTAGTTTAACCATTAATGTATATGATTGTGCGTATGTGGAATAAGTTGTTCAGGAATTATTGGCCTTCAGCAAAAACATTTCTCATTGACCATTTACAGTCTATCATTATGGCAAGTCAAAGACAATACTTATTTAGTTATTGAAACAGTTCAGCAGAAAAAATATTTGACCATGTTTATCTATTTAGTATACACCAAATTTGTATGATAATGAATATGTACCAGATTTAAGCCTGTTATTTCCTTACTTATTTAATCAAGGCATACATAACGTCATGCATTATGGTAATTATACATCTACCATCGCATGATGATCAACAACTTTGCAAGTGAACATTTGAAAAAAGTTTATCGCAGTTTCTTCCCTTACGCGGGGGAATAAATTATCTTATAACTTATAAAACTTATTTATCACGTGAACCCTGTAACGTAACAAATGTTTGTGAAATATTAATATTAAGCAATTGCTACGAAAAGTATGTGTTAAATAAAAATATTACCATCTGTATTTAAGAATTCCAATCCATGTTACAATGCTGCACAGCATTAGTATCGAACCAAGAACGGCTCCGATGATGATATGCATTTTTGTAGTGTCTTTACCTGCTTTCAGAAAGAAAGAAAACAAGAAATATTTTTAAAAAAGATAATCGGCGTAAATTCAGTGCAAAATGTCTCATAGCTTTAGAATATTTTCAAAATTAATGATATTTATACAATATAAATGTCTAAATTGAAATATATTTGGTGGTTACTAGTATAATCTATGACAGTTGTCTAAACTTAGCTGAAACATGTATGCTCCTATAATGTCAACAAATTAGTCATGTTATTATAGATGCTAGAAGCTTTTTTGTCACCGTGACTTTTGACTACTGGCTTCAAAGTCAATACCAGATAATAACCAACCACACTACCAAATTTAGAGACTGCAAAGGCCACAATCAGCTGACAACTTGAATTTTATTGTTAAATAATATTAACTTATATGTATCTGACCTTCATTTTGTAAAAGCACTTCTGTGCATAAAATGCTGCAATTATTAGGTCATGATAATAACACCAAAATCTTTTGTTGTTTATATCTTTTATTTATGAAAGAATACAAACTGTAATAAACAATCAATGGAACATATCAACTCTGAACTATACTATTTATAATGCCTTCTTATCTATCTGGCAATGAAAATGAATAATTGAAGACTTAAATCAAAAGTTAAACATAACCTTACTAGTAAAAGTTATAATTATGTATTTTATAAAAAAAGGATTTCTATCAAAAATTGCACAGCTTGACTAGTATTTTGTATATACTAGGGGTATGAGGTGGAGGTACTAGTTAAGCCTACTGGCATGGCTACGTGTCGTACACCTACACAGGTTATATTTTACAATGTACTTTAAATGTGGAATGTAAAATATAAATGTTGTTCCAAATATACAGAAATACATCTATTTATTTTATAATAAGTACTAAACTCAATTTTGCATAACCCATCAATGACACTGATTATCAAGTGAGACAGTTTCAGATAGTAGGTAGTCAATTGGGGTGTATTTCGGTAAATTTACCTACCGGTGTAAACAAACGCCGAATAACTATGAATAAATTAATTTGTTATTATTACGCACAAAAATAATACTTAAAGTTTTGCGATTCTTTATGATAATGTTGCATTTTAAATATATTAATTTTCGCAATTCATATCAGCTCTGGAAAATCTTTTTGTTGATCAAAAATATCGTTCATTTTCATAGAAAACAGAAAAGCTACGACAAATAAAGTACGAGTGAGTAGTAATCGAATGTTTAAGTAAAGGCTGAAAAACAAAAAGTTGGGTTTGTTGTTAATATTATCAACAAAATAAATTGTACATGAAATCATATGTACTGTATATTTTTGTATTTTGATATATCTTTGTTTTGGTCATAACGTTGTGATATTTAGTTTACGATTGTATAAATATTTTTAATACAACTTTATTCTTAGAGACAAGTAAACTAAAGATTACGAATTTGTCCTTGAATTTCATAACAGCCAGTCTTTCCACCAATGAAAAACACCCTCTTTTAGGCTTAGCTGAAGATTTTGTAACTAACAATTTCATTTGTTACAAATCTAGGTCAAAATCCATTTTAATACAGCTACGCCGAAAAACAGTATCAAATAAATATTTGTATCATAAAGTATTAGTAAACCTACATTCACATACACTGGTACATATGAGCCGCGTCACGACAAACCCAACGTAATGCGTTTGCGACCAGCATGGATCCAGACCAGCCTTGGCATCCGCGCAGTCTGATCAGGATCAATGCTGTTCGCTATCAGTTTCAAACAGCTGGATCCATGCTGGTCGCAAACGCATTGCGTTGGTTAGCCATGGCGCGGCTCATATTACATTGACATCACATCTACAACTTTATCTCATCCGTGGCTGTATGGTAAATGTGGCTTACTTCTAACTACTTGCCAGTCACCGCCGTAGGTTCGAATCCCCTCATAAACTTTGAATTATTTTATGTAAGGAAGCTATCCATCTAGCTTACGGAACGTCGGTCGTTCTTCTCAGGTAGCCACTCGTGCTAGTATAATCCAGGGAGGAACATTTCACGTCTTTCCTCTACCAATAAAGCTTAAAAAGTCGCCATTTGAACATTAAAGCGTGACAAACAACACATCAAAACAAAGAAAACATAAAGTGACTAGAACCGGCATTTGTTTCTTTTCTGCTGTTTTATCTTTAAGGTCTAAAAGCTCGACATAAGCTAATTTATTGATAAATTTAACATGTAAATGTTTCAATAAAAACATGTTAACCAATACAGTTATACGACTGTGATTTCAATGATTTAAAAATCACTTGTAAATATATTTCCTATACTCCATTATGGTCAGTCTCCGGTTTAAACCCTTCAAAGTCGCGGGTTTTGACCCATCCTTTATCACTAAAATTATTAAAAAGTTTTTTGAGATAAAACCTTTAAATTTAGTACTTTTTTTACTGGGCATATAAAAGTACCAGGAGGAAATTTAAGTTCCCCATAAACGTCTTCCCCAAAGGGGTGCATAAAAAATTTGAGCACGCGACAGAAAATACACTAAAAGAGTGGGAAAATCTTAAAAAATTTTTAGTTTGTGCAAAATGATATCCTTAGTTGTAAAAAAAAGAATCTTTTCATTTTACCTGACGCACTATATTGCTTTATTGAACATGAAAATGATCCGGGATTATTTTCACAAACATATGTTGAATTGCATGGATAATTTTCGCATTCGTTAATATCATTTTCACAATTAGTTCCCTGCCAACCGTTTGCACATGTGCAGTTATAGGACGCATGCGCATTAATGCATGTTGAGGAATGTTCGCACGGGTTTCTCGTGCACTCGTCAATATCAGAATCACACTGTGATCCCGTCAATCCTGATTTACAACTACACAGATAGGAACCAGGCGTATTTGTACACAGCATATTACTCGAGCATGGAGTTTGCGTGCATTCGTCGATGTCAACAGAACAATTCCGACTACTCCATCCGGGTGAACATAAACAGTGAAGTCCTCTCCCTCGCTTTTTGCACACTTCTGTATGTCGGCACATTGAACTAAAGTAACAAATGATATGAAGTTGTAAACATCTTCAAACGGAAACAGCTTGTATTGATAGTAACATAGGAGGACCTTGCAAAATATCAAATAATTAGGATAGTATTGTACATGGAATTTCTGTAAATATCCATCAGAACTTACTTGTAACGTTCAATTTATAAAAATGTGAGCGGGAGCAGTTATTTAAACAGATACATGTATATATTTCATCCTTTACACTTTCCAATATCAACTTTTGGTCAATCACGTTGAAATTGAATCGAAAATTATTTTCTGACGCGACCTCAATCTTTAAACCGTTGCCCGGAGTCGAAACTTAGGGCCATTCTCCAGCAGCAAAAAAGGAAAATTGCCATATTTTTATTATTTGTACAATGTCGGAGAATGCATGTTGTAAATAAATGAATAGCCCTACTCGTTTAGACACTGATCTTGGCACCATTCCCCCATCCATCCCGGCGTGCAATTTCGAACAGTTGTAGAATTGTCTTTTATATCGCAGTGGGCGTTGCCAAACCATCCGTGTAAACAGCTGCATCTAAAGAATATTTAAGGCATTGATGCACACGTGAAATCAGTCAAAAATGTATAAACAGAGATATGAAGGGTGTGCTTTGTAGGAATATAGATTGCATGACGACTTTAAAACAATGGCTAATCACATTTACCAGTTTTAATAAACTACTTTTATTGCCATTTTTAGAATGGTCATGTAAACGGCATGCATGTATTTCTAATCACTGCACTTATTACTTCCAAGGTAATCTTTATATATTATTATTATTATATTAGTAAAGTATATATGTAAAAGTATAATTATTTTGGTTTAAGTGTTTATTATAACTTCAATCTATTTGTCTAGAAGTAGTGTAGATTGAATCAATTCAATAAATATTGCTGACTTTTTTCGGCCGTAAGCTGTGTGATTTCACCTTAACTTCCTTTGAAATAAGATTGAAAGAAGTGAATGAAAAAAGGATTTTCATTGGTCGATTTGAAATTTTAAACCGTAAACTGGAAATCTCATTGGTCAATCTAATATCTTTCAAATGTAATACTTTACCTATAGCTTCCGATAGTGTTACTACAAATACCACGATGCATACAAGGGTTTCCAAAGCTACATTCATCAAAATCATCGTAACATGTGGCACCCTAAAACAGATTATAAGCATAGTTTTTCACCGTTTTGAGAAACAGCTTCAAAATTTTAACATTTCATTCCTAGAATTGCACTTCTTATAGTTGTATTAATAAATGATTGTCAATTTGAATTCTGCTACAGCTGCTTTTATTATGATTATTTTTATTATTTATTTTATTATTATCATTATTATAGCTATTATGCTGTTGTTGTTGTTTGTTGCTGTTGTTGTTGTTGCTGCTGTTGTTGCTGCTGTTGCTACCGCTGCCGTTACTGCTGCTGTTGTACATGGTGGTGGTGGTGGTGGTATGCCTTTTTATTGTTTTTAATTTCTTATTTATTTTTATATTTGTTGGAATTTGTTAAATTCTAACAACAATTCTTTTCTACCATGACCTTGCGAGATAAAACTACGTGCATACCATGTAAAGATTTTATTAAATATGTACTCATTAAACTGCAAAGTTGTGTCGCCGAAAGAATGTAAGGTGGAATCTAATTTCCAGTTTGGCATCGATAACGCATGTTTGATACACCATCACAAACATAAAAAACGTTTTGACACTTGCTTAATCGTGACTGTCTAGATATAAGAATGTATATTTAAAAAGAGAACTATAAAAAGCAATGAAAAAAATGGATGACACTGTTTGAAATAAGCAATAAAAAGAAATGAGCCGTGTCATGACAAAACCAACATAGTGGGTTTGCGACCAGCATTGTTCCAGACCAGCCTGCGCATCCACGCAGTCTGATCAGGATCCATGCTGTTCGCTATCAGTTTCGGTACTTGTAATAGGGTTTATAAGCGAACAGCATGGATTCTGATCAGACTGCACGGATGCGCTGGTCGCAAATGCATTATGTTGGTTTTGTCGTGACGCGGCTCATTAATGTAATATATACTTTGTTCACCAGTTTTTGTATAAAGTTATCTTCAAATTAAAACTTAAGATAATGTTACAAACACATGAATGCTTAAATCTTCCCGGGCATTAGATTACCTTTATATCATCACGGAACTTTAAGGTCAAGGTGATTCTGTGTGACCGAAATAAATTTGTCCACGTATAACAAAAAGCAACGTTTTCTCAAATATTTTCTCAAGAATACACAAAAATGCTATATTTTTAACAACAAATAAACAATCTTCAAACAAGTGGTAACCATCTTGGACGTCAATTTGAGTTTGTAAGCCCGCAACAACGTTTATATTCAACAAACAATACTGAATCAACATTTGCTTTACTTCAGTTTGTGAACGCTTAATGCACTTTTAGCCCTGAAGTTTTTTTGTTGTTGACGGGACGGAAAATATTTTTTTGAGATTAATGTTCAATTTGATAAAGGCCTAGACTAATAACTTGTGTGCAAAATTTAAGATGATTGTTCACTACGTTTTTTTTTTCAGAAAAGTTGCAAGTACTCAAATCATGAATAAAAAAATGACCCAAAACTGAAAAGAGTTCCAAACGCTATTCACTTAAATGGGGCTTAGAATAGCACAAAAATACGATATTCAATTAATTTACTGGTTATTTTTTAATTAATCTCTGCATTTTTAAGTGTCCCAGCTGATCTATGTCAAACATTCAAATTTTATGTTTTAGGCTTTTTGACCTCAATGGAGCTCCTTTGCTGTCACCTAACTGTAGACATTATATTGATCATATATATGAACCGCGTAACGATGAAACCAACATAGTGCGTTTGCGACCAGCATGGATCCAGACCAGCTTTACTCATTTATCAACGTCATAATGGAGCCGTACAATGACAAAAACCAACATAATGGGTTTGCGACCAGCATGCATCCAGACCATCCAGCGCATCCGCGCATTCTGGTCAGGATCCATGCTGTAAGCTATCAGTTTCTTTACTTGTAAAAGGGTTGGTAAGCGAACAGCTTGGATCCTGATCAGACTGCGCGGATGCGCTGGCTGGTCTGGATGCATGCTGGTCGCAAACCCATTATGTTTGTTTTTGTCATTGTACGGCTCAATTATGACGTTGATAAATGAGTAAATTATAATGTGGCTAACAGAATGTTAATAGGTTTACGTAAAGCATTTTGTCAAACATTATTTTTCATATAATAATTATACACATGACACTATTTTCATGGTTTTTTTATTTATCTTTTATTGTAGACAATAAACAAGATCTATAAGTATGTTTAATGTTAAGTAAGTATTTAGTGTTATGTTAAATACCTTAAATTGAAAATTCTATTATATCAAACAAAAAATTTACAGAAATTTGTGTAGCTTATTTATTGGTACATGTACATACAAAATTATCCATAATAAAATGTCTATTTATACAATATCTTAATAGTAAATTTATATAATATAATATTATATTTACTTACTACATATCCAGTCTGGCACATGCAATACTGATCCCCGTGTCCGTCTGGCCGGCATTTTGCATTGTGGAGGCATGATAGATTTCCGCATTGTGTAACATTTGAAGTTGGCCCTATAGCAACTCCGTATACCACCTATAGTATATTCCAAGAGTACAAGTAACTTTCAAAATAGTCTAAATATATAGTTAAGGTTCATCATAAACAATTATAAACACATTAACAAACTATTATAAACACATTAACATAGATCTTAATCTAAATTGAGATTCTATTATTTTATGACATTATTATTATTATTATTATTATTATTATTATTATTATTATTATTATTAATTTCATTTTAATTATAATGTATATTTTTTCCGAACGAAAAATATCTATTGTGCGAAACCAAATGTTAATAACTGTTTTTATGTTTGGTTCATTATTGAGTACAGTTATGAATGATTTTCAACAGATTCATTTTACTTATAGAAAAAATATTCCTTGCATTGTATTGCATTGTTTTGTATTGTTTTGTTTCGTATTGTATTGTATTGTATTGTATTGTATTGATCAAGATGTTGTAGTTATATTTTGTGTCTAGTCAAGGGCTTATTAGCCTAAACCAGACCGTTGTTGTTTTGAGATAAAGCATTCTTTTTCTGATAATTATAATTGATATAAAATGTTGCACTACTTTACGTATTGTATATGATTAATAATTATAAACTCATTTATTTTCCTGTATAATGTGATATTCCCTGCTTTATATTTTAACTGCCAGTGGATCTTTTCAGTCGTACAATAATTATATTTTTAATCCCTTGTTCTTATATCAATATTCTTCGGTATCTCCCGCATACTTTAATTTATCCATATACAAAATATATAAGAACTGTTAAACATTTTCCTAATTTTCATTTTTTTTCTTCTTCAAATTACCTCGATAATAACGTGCACGAGAAAAAACGGAAATAAATAATTAATGTCATTTATCTTCCCCATCTCACATTTTCTTGTAAGGCAAGTTTTCTATGCAACCTCGGTAAAAACAAATCGTTGTCTCAGACAGAAGTAAAGTCCAAAAATTCACATGCATTAATGTAAAGATATGCACGTGCATTTTGAAAAACATTGCTTTTATATCCCGATTTGATGTCGTAAACTCATATGTCAGCTGATACTAATACTTTTATAACTGTATAAAAGGGGGTGTGAATGACTAAATAAATAAAGTATTTCATTAAATCCTTTTGAGTTTACCATATGAACTGTATATACTTATCTGCAGTATATCTGCTTGTAAGAATACAACATCATTTTAAGCTTTTAATTTGAATGTTTTCTACAAGTATTTGATTTATCTAATACAATTTTAAACTATTTAGGATAGAACAAACAATAATGACGTATTGATAAGGCATTTCTATTTTGAACAAACGATAAATCATTAGAAAAAAAATGGAACTGACAGACAAACATTTAACTTGTACTTTTTAAAAGATTTAAATGAAGTTTAAACGGACTGTTTTGAACATTTTTATATGACAAAGTGGGAGTCAAAAAAAAATACAAATGCAAGGCAGTGCATACGAAATACTGGTAAGGCCATTTTTACTGAATGCATTCGTCGGTATAATTATATCTCAATAATTTTTCAAAGATTTCAACTTCATACATTCGCAAATTCTACAAATCAAATTCACGAGGTTGCAACTGTGAAAATATAAAGTCATGAAGTTGAAAGAGTGAACCTAAATGCCTTAAATAAAAAAAGTTGAAATCGTGAATGTGTAAAATTGAAAACGTAAATTCCTGAAGTTGTTACCGTGAACTCTTGAAGTTATAATCGCAAATTCATGAAGTTGAAACCATGACTTTGTGAAATTTGAATTTTAAATACGTAAATTAAAAATCATAAATTCAAGAAGTTAACATGTCCAAACTGGTCTTCCGTATGTCCACTTAAAATTGTTCAAGATTTTGTTATCACTTTGCCGTCATTATACAATAACAAATGAGCCGACTATTTAAAATGACATAAAATGTTACACAAAATTAAATGCTTTTGTTATAAATCATAACAAGGTTTTAACATGGTGTCAATTACACGACAGCTGGAGACAAACTGTGTTCTTGGTTTTGAATCCCGACAGGGAATTTGGAGGTAGTTATCAAGCTAGCTTACGGGACGTCCGTGGTACTACTCGTGCTTGAAATAATGCAAGGGAAGGGGCACCTGAGGTCTTCTTCCACCAGTAAAGTTTGACGTAAAAGCCAAACAAACAGTGGTCTTGGTTTCATTTGTATAACTACTTTGATGATTTTGTCCTATAATGTATATGTGTAATTGGCCAAAGACAATGTTCATTGATGATTTGGCAATAAAATTAAAACTTAATGAAAATCTGAATTGCATCTTCGACAAAGAAGCGATCTTTTTACCATTATCTCTCATTTTTATTCCATACTATTTATTTTAATATTAATTTACCCATAGATATGCATTTTTATCGTACTTTTTACAGAGCTTGGCTGAACACCTTTGTCTGACATAAGCTATGACGTCATCATATTGTCAAGTCCTCATAAGAAAGCTATAAAGGATCCTCAGAAATGTTCGCCATTAGGTGTCGGCTCGAAGGTCACCAAATGCCTGCTTTAGTAAGGTTCAGAAATAGTAAATATTATTTAAACATTACTGCTGTCTCTGTCTTAAGGCGAAAATTGAACATGTAGATACATGTTTATATAATAAAGATCATCTTCTCTTATCTTAAGTTTCAAATTCTTTTTATTTCCATGCAGTTCAAAATAGATTCACAATGCTACAGAATCTTTAATCTGAACAACGGAGGAGAATACGGAATGTTTACAACTTCAGGAGAATATGGAAATTATGTTACGATTATATTTGATGCAATATGTGAGGCTAACTGTTAATAAACATGTACAGATAAATGGCTTACATGCCATATAGAAATACTACAAATATGTTACTTGGTATCAAATTTTAATAGGATAAAATTGGAAGCACTAGATGTTTTACAAGTGTTAGTATACTGTACGATGTCGCTATCAGAAAAACTATGCATAAACATAGATATATAAAATAGCTGTACGTACCAACTAAAATGATTAAAATTGTATGTTTTTTTTTGGACGAAGTCCGTCTGTTATCAGTTTGACTTCCTGTAAAATTAGCATATATGAAGAATTTCCATTGTACATTTAAAAATTACAAACTAAAATCTGTGAATTTCATTGGTCATTCTAAAATAAAATGTAAAGGATAGTTCTTACCATTCAGAAAATAATTTTATAAGAATAGCTCTAAGATAAGATGTAAGGAATATTTTGCCACTATTAAATATAAGTAAAGAAAAGTTAAGGGACACCTTAAATATATAGAAGTTGCCCTATTTTGAAAAATCATCAATATGCTATAATTTAATTTCAATGTTTACAAAATGGGTATTTTCTTAGCTACAAGAAATAATTATCACGCTAACAATATTTTTGTTTCGAAAACTTAGAAATAACATAATTTTGCATGTTAACCAGTTTTATTTCGTCCGATTATCCTTTTGAAAGATACTTCTTCTTTATACATGTAATAAATAATGCAATAAAGGCCGTACTAGTTTTTTTTTAAGATCCTGTATGTCATGTGAATAATTTACAACAAAAAATATCAGAAAGCTTTGATGGTAAATGCGATAATTTTACCCCCAAAAAATAAATCAAAATTGATAATAAATACAGAAACTAAGTGATACCGTCGGGGTTTTCCGACGAGTACTATGCATTTAATTACATTCTGACAGTCGGAATTGTTTTGTAATTCATTTGAAGACCATCTTTAACACATGCAAAAAAGTCCTCTATTCAACGTATATGATATGAGCGCGGACGATAAAATCAACTACTCTATAAGCTGCGACAAGCAGATCCAGACCAGCTCTGCGCATTGCACAGTTCTTCTGATAAAAAAACCATGACTGTTCCTATCATTTCTTGTATCTTGTTTTGAATTGTTGAGCGTAAAGCATTGGATCCGTGACCAGACTTTGTATGCCGCAAGTTGTCTGATACGATGCTCGCTCCAAATCGCATTATGTTGTTTTGTCTACGCGGCTCATTATTTACAGATCTTTAAAGATCTATCATGCAATAAATTTCATATGTCTAACTACAACACTCAAGCCGAAAAAAAACAATCTCAGGATCATGCTCTTGCCATTGTATATGTGCAAGTTCTCTCTTATTAAAAAAAAGACTTATGGCACTTATATTTTTGTAATCTTGTTTTGACATTTTGAGTATATTGAATTTTTAACGTAGACAGAACTTTGGTATCAACAACCGATAAATGCTGATAAATGCATCGTCGACTGCCTACAACCATGCGTTATATGTTTTATTAATTTCAATTTATTTAGATCTTTATTAATATAGAACTACAATGACAAGTTAAAGCCCTTTTTATTTTCTGAGATACACATACACTTAACTGATTATCCACAGTCAACAAATCAGTAACGTGACCGTAAAATAATTTTCTGTATTGTATTGAACTGTATAGTACCATATATGACACGATTAAGACCACTGTATGTGCGAGATATTTTTTTATACATCTTTTGAATAACACGGGATCGGACGTAAGTCGAGACTTGTGTAATAAATAAAAGCACCTTCGTTATTTTAACCGTTTTACAGGGTCTCGGCTCTATTTACAAGATTTTTCGGAATAACGCTAGACAGGTTCCCTATTCGGTGTAAAATGTGTTCCCTAGTCAGTGTACATTATGTTCCCTAGTCAGTGTACATTATTTTCCTTAGTCGGTGTACATTACGCTCCCAAGTCAGTGAACATTATGTTCCCTAATCAGTGTACATTATGTACCCTAGTCAGTATACATTATGTTCTCTAGTCAGTGTACGTTATGTTCCGTAGTCAGTGTACATTATGTTTCCTAGTCAGTGTACGGTACGTTCCGTAGTCAGTGTACATTATGTCCCCTAGTCAGTGTACATTATGTTCCCTAGTCAGTGTACATTATGTATCCTAGTCAGTACACATTATGTTCTCTAGTCAGTGTACATTATGTTCCCTAGTCGGTGTACATTATGTCCCCTAGTCAGTGTACATTATGTTCCCTAGTCAGTGTACATTATGTCCCCAAGACAGTGTACATTATTCTCCTTAGTCAGGGTGCATTATGCTTCCTAGTCAGTTCCCTGAAAGTTGATTTTATTTTCAGATTAAAAGATGGAAGATAAAAGTTCATTTAGGATTTTTAGCGGGATAAGGGTAAAAAGCGAAACAATGCTTCTATAGCATGCCAAAGATGTCAATAAACAAGTACATATTGAATGATTAAGTCTTAACTGGTCACTTTAATAAAGATCACCATTTGACAGTTTATATCAAAACATTTGGCACAATACGAGTATTTCATTTAAAGGATAAAGTTTAAGATGTTAGGGAAGGTTGGTCCATTTTGTGTTTTGTCACAAAAATAAATTATATTCCGTTTAAGTCTTTATACCATTTGCTATATTTGTTTAGTTCTAGTTGTATACAAGATGGTCGCAATAAATCAAATGCTTCATCAAATACGTTACAAATAGAAGCTTAGTAATACCAGATACTTCGGCCACTGCACGGGGCTTTTCGTGCGTTCTCTTAGATAAGCGCGCTTAATATTTGGACTATTTCAAAAGAAAGCACTTCTGGGTCAAGTACATCTTTGATTAAAACAAATATTTGCTGAGTTCATACCCACTTCATTCAGTAAGTAATTGCATTTACCTATGATGTACACGATATGTGGCCTTAAAATTTGGTGACCTAATTCCTCCAAAAATATTGTCGGTAAATTGCGATTTTGTGTGATGAAGGATTTAAAATACATACATAAATCGTATAATAGATATAATTTCCAAAGAGAGTAAGCAAGTTCTAAATCTGACCTTTTGTACCCTTAGTTCAAACTTTAATTTGTTCGCTGGGCGCAATATGGCGGACATATGTGCTATGTTCGGCGAATTTTAGCTTTAAAAGTTGTTAATTGATTTCATATCTGATTTGTTAATTGATTAAAAACAAAGAGATTGGGATGATGAATATATTTATAATTTGGACTACTTTTGCTGTTTCATTGTTTGAGGTATAGCACAGAAGTTAGTATCAGTGACCCTGTATAAAACTAAGTACAAAGCGCCTTTGGAAAAGCGTTCCAAGTCACAAAATATATACCATTTCGTTCAAGACAATTCGTGCTATTTAATATTTAGATCGTATTTATTTCTGTATTCCAAAATGATTAATAATTATTAATTTGAGAAAGAAATGTGCTTCTATGAATAAAATTGATGCATAATTGTTTTTCTATTATTAATATTATTATTATTATCATGATTTTTGTTACTATTATTATTATTATTATAATTATTATTATTATTATTATTTCTGTTCAATTAAAAAAACAAAAAATGTTTTATTATGATAAACTATACGGGATTATTCAAAAAGTCTGCTTAATTTTAAACACTGTTCTGTAAGCTATTATTATTATTATTATTAATTATTATAATTATTGATTATTATTATTTTATTATTATTATTATTATTATTATTATTATTATTATTATTATTATTATTATTATTATTATTATTATCATTATTATTATTATTATTTATTATTATTATTATTATTATTATTATTATTATTATTATTATTATTATTATTATTATTATTATTATTATTATTATTATTATTATATTTACATTCTCAATGACAATACTACAAACTTTTAGCTTTAAATTTGTATCCATTACCAAATAGTGCAATGCAAGTATAAAATATCCTGAGATTTTCTTACAAGAATTTTGCTGGGTTTTTTATGATCTGTCATCTGTCACATGTAAACACAATTATATCGAGACGTACATATTTACGAATGTATTTTGTTTTAATTACTGCCGAAGGATCTTCCTTTTGAAGTCCTGGTCCTGTTTTTTTTTTTTTTTTGTTGTTGTTTTTTTTTGTTGTTTTTTGTGTTTTTTTTTTTTTTGTTTTTTTTTTGTCGCTTTGGCTTTTTACTATATCAAATGTATATAAATATTATAAATATTTATAAATATTATAAATATTTTTTTTACTTTTGTTTTGCATTCATTTAAATTCAGATTTCACAGTCAGCAACGGTTAAGCCGGCACAGAACATAACACAGTGCGGCAGTTTGTTGTGCTCTAATAATGCAAAATGTAGAGATAATGGTCGTGGAAACCAAAAGTGCCAATGTCACGCCGGATATTCTGTAAGTTAGTTTTATCATACTTAAGCATAATCATCCTAGTTTAAATGTGTAACAAGTTCTTACAAATCAATTTCCCATTTTAAGTCAGCATTCTGGAACTAACCAGTACAATACGGCTGTCAGATATATGGAATCATAACTGTGACCTAAGTAATGCTCGAACCCACGGTCCTTTGGATCAAACTATATAACATTTAAATCTCACTATTTAAAGATCATGTATTTTGTATTTGAGGTTGCATACCATACTTAAGTATATATATATGTATATAATTACATGTATGCTAATAAAACAATTTTAAAACACCGAATAATATGTAAAATATGTACTGCAAATATTTGTACATATTATATGTGATCATTAAATATAGAGAGGATATTCAAGTTTTTTCTATAAATACATTATTTATTTTCATCGAGTGGTATGAAAATAAATATTTCACGAGTGAAATATGGTAATTTTCATGCCACAAGATGAAAATAAATCATGTATTTATAGAAAAAACTTGAATTTTTTGTTTATTATATATATATTTTTCTTTTTTGCGATAAAATTTGAAATACTTTCCCTTAAATTTTGTGTACTGACAGAATTTAAAAGAAAGTAGTTCGGCAAGACACCAGTGAAAATACGGAAAATATGTTTCACTGCAGTGAAAAATAAATTTTTACAGTGAAAATACGGAAAATGAAAATACGCATTTTATTTCATCAATATTTCTCAATATTTCATTTATAAGTATATAATAAATAGGAGATATTCAAGTTTTTTCTATAAATACATGATTTATTTTCATCGAGTGGTATGAAAATAAATATTTCATTGGTGGCGGTAGCCACGAGTGAAATATGGTTATTTTCATGCCACAAGATGAAATAAATCATGTATTTATAGAAAAAAACTTGAATTTTCTGTTTATTATACACATTTTTCTCTTTTTTGCGATAACATTTGAAAGACTTTTGTGTACTGGCAGAATTTAAAAGAAAGTAGTCCGGCAAGACACCAGTGAAAATACGGAAAATATGTTTCACTGCAGTGAAAAATAAATTTTTACAGTGAAAATACGGAAAATGAAAATACGCATTTTATTTCATCAATACTTCTCAATATTTCATTTATAAGTATATAATAAATGCATTCATTTAGAAAATAAGTTTTTTATTACCTCCCTTTATTTACATGAAATTGTAAATTCGATAATATCTTTGTAAATAATGCTTTATGGAACTTTCAAAATTGATAAATCTTAATTTGAGCATGATATTTATGATATAAAACTACAATGTATAAAAAATCGTGATACATGATCTTTAACTTGGCAGAACTTTTTTTCAAAATATAAACTTATGTTTATTTTTAAATAGTATGATTATTAAAGTTCACATTTCTAATCTATGTTTTGAATTAATTGATATACGAGAGATGATCCAGAATTAAGCAGAATATCTTTATAAATTTGATGATTTTCTTATTATTTTCTTTTAATTCATACATGCGGAAATTTTCAATGTTTTATGTATTGAATCATATTTTTGTTAATATCCTATTATCCATTGCCGTTTAATGTCGCCTTGTAACGCCACATCGACACAGCTAATAGTATGTACGTTGAAATGTTTTAAAATGCACCAACCATAGATCTTGTCAAAAATTCACCGCGACCATCAAATAACATTCTATTACATTGTAATTGCGATTATAATTTTGAAATTGTGAATTTAGCATTGTGAGCGGTGAATGACATGTACAATTAATTAAATGGACATCTTAATTTTGATAAACAAAACAATGAAACTTCGGAGTATACCTCGGAATTGTGAACTCTAGATGTTAATACATATACATGAATTAATAAAAAAAGTCTGAAATTTAAAAAAGTGAGCCATGATGGATATACATCTATCAAATAGAAATAAAAATTATACATTATGACTGATATATAATTGATCTGTATATCAGAATTATGAAATTATGAACTGGAAACGCTATCAACCAAATCTAAGAAAAGTAAAGACTTAAAATATTATATTGTTTAATGCTATATATCATTACTAGGGAAAGACCTGTCACGATGATTTCGACGAATGTCACATTGGGAATCCCTGCATGCACCGCGGACATTGCCATAACAACATTGGCAGCTATAGGTATAGACATTAAAATTTGTTTAAGGGACTCCACTGAGGTTTATGACATAACGGGGCTACAAATAATGTTTTTTAAGATTAATGTTCCATTTGATGTAGGTCCAGGCCAATACCTTTTGTGCACTCCGTTTTTCCAGAACCATTTTTTAATTATGAAAAAAAAAACCCAAAATTGAAAAGCGTTGCACATATATATCTTTGCACATATTCGACGTTACTTTTAAGCCATTCCTGTGATATTTCCACATTTCGTCGTTACTGAATACATTAACAATGAATAACAGACAGTTCATAAAATGAACGCTGGACAAATCAATTCAAGATAGTCAATAAGTAAATGATGAATAGTTTGAGAGTTACACAAATATACAACAGGGGTGTGGGTCAGCTCCCATGAAAACTAATACTCGGTCATTTCATTCTTTATAACAAGAAAATACGGAACTAATGCGTGTTTGAGTTGTTACATATTTCAAATACAACTATACTAATGAATTAAATTTTTTTATTTTTTTTTTCGTCCGTTACCCCAAAACACCTCCGCCACTATTGTTTGATGGTGATTTTTGTTAAAGTTATCAGATTTGAATGATGATATATTCAGATGTGATGTGAATGTTGATAAATTCAGATGTTAATACTGATATATTCAGGTGTGAATGTTGATATATTCAGGTGTGAATGTTTGGACGGTTGGACCAGTGACGTTCACTGTGAAATAAAAGATCCAGCTATAACTGACCGGAAATGCATGCCGGGATGGATTGGCGAATGGTGTCAGGATCAATGCTTAAACGAGTAAATATCAACATCGTTTTCAATTTTTTGTTTAGAACTGGAATTGTGTGGATAAATTATAATTGTCATAATCAAAAATCCACGTCAAGTATTAAGGATCTCTCTTAAAAAAATTAAATGTAACAAAAGTATTAATAAAACTTTTATTGTTAAAAGGAAATGATAATTGCAAAATCAATTACATTATTGTAAGAACTCTTAATTCATAAAACTTCATTTTTGTTTGCTTTTCAAAGCTCAATGTGCCGACCAACTCAAATATGCAAAAAGCGCGGGAGAGGACTACATTGTCTCTGCCGACCTGGATGGCTTGATCGCAACTGCACTATAGACAAAGACGAATGTACGAACAATCCATGCCCAGTAACTGCCACCTGTAAAAACACACCTGGTTCTTACGAATGTCCTTGTAAATTTGGATGGAAGGGAGATAACTGCGACAAGGACATTGACGAGTGTCTAGATAATCCGTGTCAACATTCATCAATATGCTCCAATGAGCAAGGCGGTTACAAATGTACATGCTCCAGTGGATGGAAGGGCGATGACTGCAAAGAAGATATTGATGAATGTAGTTCCGATCCATGTAAAAACAAAGCAAAATGTATCAATGCGCCAGGTTCATATGAATGTAAATGTGAATCGGGTTGGAAAGGTGCCGATTGTTCCGTCGACATAAATGAATGCTTGGTAAACCCGTGTAAACATTCTGGATCTTGCGTAAACACCGACGGTTCATACCAATGCACATGTACTCAAGGTTGGGAAGGGACAAACTGTTCAATAGATATTGATGAATGTCTAACCGCACCATGTCTACACTCGGGAACTTGCATAAATACTGACGGTTCATACCAATGCACATGTACTCAAGGTTGGGAAGGGACAAACTGTTCAACTGATATTGATGAATGTCAAAACACACCATGTTTACATTCGGGAACTTGCATAAACACGGACGGTTCATACCAATGCACATGTACTCAAGGTTGGGAAGGGACAAACTGTTCAATAGATATTGATGAATGTCAAAACACACCATGTCTACATTCGGGAACTTGCATAAACACGGACGGGTCATACCAATGCACATGTACTCAAGGTTGGGAAGGGACAAACTGTTCAATAGATATTGATGAATGTCAAAACACACCATGTCTACATTCGGGAACATGTTTAAACACCGACGGGTCATACCAATGCACATGTACTCAAGGTTGGGAAGGGACAAACTGTTCAATTGATATTGATGAATGTCGAACCGCACCATGTCTTCATTCGGGAACTTGCATAAATACTGACGGTTCATACCAATGCACATGTACTCAAGGTTGGGAAGGGACAAACTGTTCAACTGATATTGATGAATGTCAAAACACACCATGTTTGCATTCGGGAACTTGTATAAACACTGACGGGTCATACAAATGCACATGTATTCAAGCTTGGAAGGGACAAACTGTTCAATTGATATTGATGAATGTCAAAACACACACTGTTTACATTCGGGAACTTGCATAAACACTGACGGTTCATACCAATGCACATGTATTCAAGCTTGGGAAGGGACAAACTGTTCAATTGATATTGATGAATGTCAAAACACACCATGTCTACATTCGGGAACTTGCATAAACACGGACGGGTCATACCAATGCACATGTACTCAAGGTTGGGAAGGGACAAACTGTTCAATTGATATTGATGAATGTCAAAACACACCATGTCTACATTCGGGAACTTGCATAAACACCGACGGTTCATACCAATGCACATGTACTCAAGGTTGGGAAGGGACAAACTGTTCAATAGATATTGATGAATGTCAAAACACACCATGTTTACATTCGGGAACTTGCATAAACACTGACGGTTCATACCAATGCACATGTATTCAAGCTTGGGAAGGGACAAACTGTTTCAATTGATATTGATGAATGTCAAAACACACCATGTCTACATTCGGGAACTTGCATAAACACGGACGGGTCATACCAATGCACATGTACTCAAGGTTGGGAAGGGACAAACTGTTCAATAGATATTGATGAATGTCAAAACACACCTTGTTTACATTCGGGAACATGTTTAAACACCGACGGGTCATACCAGTGCACATGTACTCAAAGTTGGAAGGGACAAAACTGTTCAATAGATATTGATGAATGTCAAAACACACACTGTTTACATTTGGGAACTTGCACTAACACTGACGGTTCATACAAATGCACATGTACTCAAGGTTGGGAAGGGACAAACTGTTCAATAGATATTGATGAATGTCAAAACACACCATGTTTACATTTGGGAACTTGCATAAACACTGACGGTTCATACCAATGCACATGTACTCAAGGTTGGGAAGGGACAAACTGTTCAATAGATATTGATGAATGTCAAAACACACCATGTCTACATTCGGGAACATGTTTAAACACCGACGGGTCATACCAGTGCACATGTACTCAAAGTTGGGAAGGGACAAACTGTTCAATAGATATTGATGAATGTCAAAACACACACTGTTTACATTTGGGAACTTGCACTAACACTGACGGTTCATACAAATGCACATGTACTCAAGGTTGGGAAGGGACAAACTGTTCAATAGATATTGATGAATGTCAAAACACACCATGTCTACATTCGGGAACTTGCATAAAACACTGACGGGTCATATCAATGCACATGTACTCAAGGTTGGGAAGGGACAAACTGTTCAATAGATATTGATGAATGTCAAAACACACCATGTTTACATTCGGGAACTTGCATAAACACTGACGGTTCATACCAATGCACCTGTACTCAAGGTTGGGAAGGGACAAACTGTTCAATTGATATTGATGAATGTCAAAACACACCATGTTTACATTCGGGGACTTGCATAAACACTGACGGTTCATACAAATGCACATGTACTCAAGGTTGGGAAGGGACAAACTGTTCAATAGATATTGATGAATGTCAAAACTCACCATGTTTACATTCGGGAACTTGCATAAACACTGACGGGTCATACAAATGCACATGTACTCAAGGGTGGGAAGGGGCAAACTGTTCAAATGATATTGATGAATGTCTGTTAAACCCATGTATGCATAATGGAACTTGCATTAACAATGCAGGCTCATACAAATGTAATTGTGGTCAGGGTTGGAACGGATTTAATTGCATGAATGATGTTGACGAATGTAGAATTAATCCTTGCATGCATTCTGGAACATGTACAAACAGGAAAGGGGGATATTTATGTTCCTGTAAACCAGGCTGGGAAGACACCAACTGTGAAACTGATATTAATGAATGTCTCAATAATCCATGTTTGAATTCTGGATCCTGTAACAATACAGCAGGTTCATATACGTGCTCATGTCTAACTGGCTGGGAAGGCAAAACTTGTGGGAGCGATACCAACGAATGTCAGAACAATCCGTGTTTAAATGCCGGTAACTGTACCAATAACGCGGGTTCGTATTCCTGCACCTGTCCATCAGGTTGGGAAGGTGCCATCTGTGAAAATGATATTAACGAATGTCTTAGTGACCCCTGTTTGAATTCAGGTACATGTAAAAATAAAGTAGGTTCATATACATGTTCATGTGCGGTAGGTTGGGAAGGTGCGAACTGCGGACAGGATATCAATGAATGCATAAATAATCCATGCTTGAATTCTGGCTCATGTGTCAATAATGCAGGTTCATATACGTGTACGTGTGCTTCAGCTTGGAAAGGTGAAAACTGCGGAAACGATGTCAATGAATGTCAGCACAATCCATGCTTAAATTCCGGTACCTGTATCAACAACGCAGGTTCATTTACATGCGCTTGTCCAAAGGGTTGGGACGGTGCTTTCTGTGAAAATGACACGAACGAATGTCTTAATAACCCTTGTTTGAATTCAGGTACATGTACCAACAATGTAGGTTCATATACATGCTCGTGTGCTTCAGGGTGGGAAGGTGTAAACTGCGCAAAGGATGTAAATGAATGTCAAAACAATCCATGCTTAAACTCAGGCTTGTGTACAAACAACGCAGGTTCATATTCATGCAGATGTCAACCGGGATGGGAAGGTACTTCATGTGGTAATGATATAAATGAATGTCTAAATAATCCATGTTTGAATTCGGGTTCATGTTCAAACGGCGCGGGTTCATTTACATGTGTTTGTCCACCAGGTTGGGAAGGTGCTATCTGTGAAAATGACACGAACGAATGTCTTACTAGCCCCTGTTTAAATTCAGGTACATGTAAAAATAAAGTAGGTTCATATACATGTTCATGTAGATCAGGATGGAAAGGGACAAACTGCGAAAATGACATAAACGAATGTCTAAATGATCCATGTTTGAACTCTGGTTCGTGTACTAACAACGCAGGTTCGTTTACATGCACCTGTACACCGGGTTGGGAAGGTGCTATCTGTAAAATTGATATTAACGAATGTCTTACTGATCCATGTCCTAAATCAAGTACATGTAAAAACACCAACGGTTCCTTTGACTGTAAATGTTTCGCAGGTCTCCAGGGTGTTACATGTACGGACGACGTCAATGAGTGCAACAGCTCTCCTTGTTTGAACTTCGGACAATGTCTTAATAGCTATGGATCTTACAGTTGCAAATGTGCCGCGGGTTGGGAAGGTAAAAACTGCTCTGGTGATGTAGATGAATGTAATAAAGATGATGTATGCAAGTATTCTGTGACGTGTAAGAATACAATAGGTTCATATGCATGCGCGTGTACTTCCGGTTGGCAGGGAGATAACTGTGACCTGGATATTGACGAATGTGAGAAGACACCTTGCAATACAACTTCAACATGTGAAAATAGTCCAGGGTCATTTACCTGTATTGAAAGTGCTTTATCCAGAGGTATAGATTATAAATAAATAAGTTTTTATCATTATTTATTTATTTATTTATTTATCTATTTATTTATTTATTTTTTTATTTCAAGAACAAGCGAGTAATGTGTAAATACATGAGATCTTTCTACATAGTTTTAACTACCTTAATTCCACATTTTAAAAAAAATCCTTACTTCTTTCAGTATATTTAAAAGTTGTTGAGAATATACCTTGAACTCGATAAATAAAATTTATAATTATAAACTGAAATTAATTAACTTTATACTGTTTTGCTTATTTTAAACTCATTATTAAAAGTCAGCTGAAATGTGTTTGGCTTATCTTTTTTTATCTTTTTAAATTATTTTGCGAAATCTAGTTTTTATGAAAGAAAATTTTCCACATGTGCTGCTTCTTTTAAAGGGGATTCGGGACTGCGGAAGACAAACATGATTTTTGGTATTGCACTATGCTCTGTGTTACTGTTGACTAGTGTAATAACTTGGCTTGGAATCCTTAGATACAGATGGTAAGTATACTGTGCAGATGAGTGATACAAAAAACGAATTAAAAAAAATCTTACTTTACAAAAACTCTTTTTTAGTGTTAAAGAGATGTAAAAATAGTCAAATTCCATGTACTGGTTTAATCTCAATGCAAAATTTGCCTGTATGAATCATTTTCTATATATCCTACGATGTAAGTCTAACGGCTATTGCTTGGTATTGTTCTAGTAATTACTGAAATTTCCTATTGAAAAGTAATGCCAAAGGTCGGCTTAGTTTGTTGATTTTGCACTTATAGCAATAATTTGTCCGTTCATATAAGCACGAATTTGGTTATTTTCTTGAGAATGAATTATAGTGACAACCTTTGGTGAGTGTACACTTGGTTTAGTTTTTTAAATATCCATCGATGCAGCTGCGTACAAATGGCAGCTTTGAATATTTTATATTCTGCCGCTTTTAAAAATGTTGATAGAGCCATGAAATGTAAAGTGTACAAACAGAGAAGCATTTGAACATAAATGAGCCGTGTCACGACTAAACCAACATAATGGGTTTGCGACCAGCATGGAGCCAGACCAACCTGCGCATTCGCGCAGTCTGATCAGGACACATGCTGTGCGGATGCGCAGGCTGGTCTGGATCCATGCTGGTCGCAAACGCACTATGTTGGTTTTGTCCTGACACGGCTCAAATATACATATTATATGGCATGCATTAGGATAATTCCCCCCTGATCACACTTTATACTTCAGGAAAAGAAGCCAAGATGGTGCTAAAACTTGCAAAAAAGCACCTTTACCGCCAGGAAATATTCAGCGTACTACAATACCTTTTGGGATGGAGAAAGCAGGCTATATTTCCGACAAGACCAATTATCCTATTGTCAAACCTTGGGTCGCAAGGAACATGAACTTCTGATAGTATTATTGATTGTTATATAATTATGTCATTATTGTATATATAGTATATATCGTATATTAAAATAAAACATAAGTTCAACTAGCCTGGAGCTTTTTCATATCTATTTAGATCTTAGAATAAATATCCATTTCGATGTGTAGGTAAAGAATATAGTTTTAAAAGCAAAACTTTCACATCCGTTTTGGTCTGATTGAGCCATCGAGTGCTGGGCATGCGCAATGTCAATGAAACTTATATTTCCTAATCATGAAAGCAACATGTGCGCTTTTCTCAAGCAATTTAGAAAGTACATGTACTTCTTTATTTTTTTAAAGGATCTTTGATTTTTGTACTTCTTTGTTATACAAGACACTAAAATCGTTCAGTTTATATCTACAGCTCATTCATAACCGATTCTCGTATCTAATAAAAGAATAAACAATTTTGAAATAAGCAAGCGGAGAATATATTTGTTTTGCAATGCATTTTAGTAGCGTTTTTCGATAAATCTTTCTTTAATTTCTACAGATCAAATTCATATTTAATAGAACTCTTAATTTAGTAAATGACAAAATAACTTTCAAAGTCAATATGCAACAGTTATACCTGTGGAGTTATAAACTCACAGTTTGCCTAGCTTGTCACCAGCACTAAGTATGTTTCCACGCCCGTTTAACTCACAACGAGTGAAAAATGTCCATCGGTAAAAATGTTGTGAGCAACTTCCGTTCCTCGTTGTGAGCACCCATCTTTGACGTGTGACACGATAAACTAGGTGAGTTTTTCATAATTTTTGAAGATTACAGACATTTATGTAAAAGTATCGAAATGCAGTTAGCTAGCGATGTGTTTTCCGAGTATGCACATGTAAAGATATTGCCTTTTGTGGACAATTTGATGGAAATACCGTGCGATGCAGTCACTCGGGGTAGCTGGAAAACTGGAGACAACTTCTCTTTGGACCTAATTTAACATTGAAAACGTCGATTCTGGTGACGTTTTGTGCATTCTAACCTAAAACAGATGCCCACAAGTATTCAGCGTAAATTATTATCTGAAAGTCTTCATAGAATCGAAGATATACTCTTTTTTGCTTTAATCCTCGTTGTGAGCACCATAACCTCGTTGTGAGCAAGACAAGCGCAGTGCGTGTATGGTTTTAATATGTAATTCAGATGGTGAAAATATAATTTTCAATCTACCACAGCAATTAAAACGTTTTTGCACAGCAGCATTTCTTTGCAAGACGTTGTGCATACCCCAAAGGGAGGCATATTAGTTTTGAACTGTCCGTCTGTCAGTCCGTCAATCTGTCCGAAAACTTTAACATTGGCCATAGCTTCCTTATTAGTAAACGGATTTGATTCTTATTTGAACACAACATCCCTTTGCACCTTCCTACGGACCTGTATTTTTTTACCTTGACCCCTGAATGGCCTTTACCTTGAAGGTCAAATTGTCCAAAAACATTTAAGATTGGCCATAATGTCCTGGCATAATGTTTAGGCACAACACATCTTTGGACAAGGCATTTCAACTATCCTATATTCTTTTGACCTTGATGCCTGAATGACCTTCATCTTGAAGGTCAAATTGTCCAAAAACTTAAAAATTGGTCATAACTTCCTTATTAGTATACGGATTCTACTCATATTTTGAAACAACACCCCTTTAGGCAAGACCTTCAAACTGATCTGTATTTTTTTTTACCTTGTACCGTGAATGACCTTCTAGAACATCCAAAAACTTTAACATTGGTCATAACTTCTTTATAAGTAAGTGGAATTAATTCATATTTGGACACAATGCCCCTTTGGACAAGACCTTCCAACTGACCTATATTTATTTCACCTTGACCTTGAATTACCTTCACATTGAAGATCTAATTGTCCAAAAACAAATAATCTATCTGGTCCATAAATCAAAGGACAAAGCACCACTTCAGGGGCATTGTCAACTTACCGTGATAGTTCTTGTTTTACATAACTTGGTCAGTCTTCAGCTCAGGATAAACACATGTATGTGTGTATCACACAGATTGTGAAATTGTTGAAATATTCATAAACACCCCGTGATGTTCACTCGTGCCACACTAGAGTATACGAAATAAAATACCTGATTTACCTCCACTGATTAGTTCTTCTGTTAATCTGATGACTTGTGAATATGAAGAATAATTTTCAAAAAAAGAAAAAGAAGAACTATTGCAAAGAAAAACTATTGTACAGAAACGTTTTGATTGCTTTTGGTAGATTGAAAATTGTATTTTTGCCATTTGAATTACATATTAAAACCAGACAAGCACTGCGCTTGTCTTGCTCACAACGAGGTTATGGTGCTCACAACGAGGATTAAAGCAAAAAAGAGTATATCTTCGTTTCTACGAAGACTTTCAGATAATAATTTACGCTGAAGACTTGTGGGCATCTGTTTTAGGTAAGAATGCACAAAACGTCACCAGAATCGACGTTTTCAATGTTAAATAAGGTCCAAAGAGAAGTTTTCCAGCTACCCCGGGTGACTGCGTCGCACGGTATTTCCATCAAATTGTCCACCAACAGGCAATATCTTTACATGTGCATACTCGGAAAACACATCGCTAGCTAACTGCATTTCGATATTTTTACATAAATGTCTGTAATCTTCAAAAATTATGAAAAACTCACCTTGTTTATCGTGACACTCGTCACAGATGGGTGCTCACAACGAGGAACGGAAGTTGCTCACAACATTTTTACCGATGGACATTTTTCACTCGTTGTGAGTTAAACGGGCGTGTGTTTCGCTAGAAATGGCCTTGGTTTTTGAAGTGCACTAGCTTGGAAGCTTTATATATGGTATAAACTGCAACACTATTCTAGTAAATCGCTGAAGTCAGTGGCAAATAGATTTCTGTATTGAGCAAATATTACAACTGAAATTCGGGTTAACAATTTCATACAGAAGGAGGAAGTTTAAGAAAGAATAAGCATTCTATGCTATTGCAACGAAAATTTAAGTAAATAACATCGTAAATTCAAGTTAAACATTTGATAAATAGCAGCCGAGAAGATGATTATAAATCTATAAAATATAAACTATAATGGAAAACTTAACTTAATCACCCATATATAGGAACTTTTCCTCACCAACAGTGAGGAAAAGTCAATTACCATTCTATATGAAATCAATAACAACATCAATTCAGAATAACCACTCACGATGAAAAGTATGGTGTAAATGATTTAATTATAACGGACTTAACGTTCAAGTTAGCTACTTATAGCGATAGCGAGAAATGTTATGAGTATTCTAACAATTGTAAACTGTAACTGTATTCCAACTGATCACTTGAACCAATGGAAATGGATGAGCTCTGACCTAACAATAATTACAATTATTCGCTTTCGTTAAGTTTGTGTATAAGTTCATGAAAAAAAAACACCGATAGATTATGTAAAGACTTTCATATTAATTTTAAGTTAAACCATGTCAATAAAATGTAAATGGCGTACCTTTAAAGTTCAAATAACATGTTGGCATGATTGTTTCAACATCACATATGTATAATTAACAACCCAAGTTAATCACGGAAACTCTTCGTCAAGCCATGGATGCCCCATCCCCCCGCATGCAG